CGAAGGGTCCGAATGAGCCTGTGTACAAACAAACACCAGATAAATAATATATATATATATATATATATATATATATATTATATATATATATAATATATATATATTATATTATAAAATAAAGCCTCTCAACCTCATCACCTATGTATGTATTCAGACCATAATAGTATTATTATAAACAAAACTATCATCATGAATGTTCATGGTTTCTCTGCTTACCGCAGTCGTCTGCAACGTCGCCGCAGGTTCTTGTTTCCTCGACGTCTAAGTTGGCGCATTTTCTCGTTTGTTTTCCCTCTGAACACTCGGTCCATGGATCCCAGGCTGTGCATACCCCCTCAACAGCTCCTCCATCGGTGCTTGGTGTGCAGTGCTGAACTTCGCTCATCTCGCAGTCAGCGGAAAAGCGGGTGCGGAGGTAAGAGCCGTCCATAGACAAGTTGCAAGGTGACCAGCTGTCCCATGTGCACTCGTCAGTGAATGGCATGTCGCCTGAAACAAAACAAAAAAAACACAAACACAAAGAGATCCTTATACTACTCGTATTCATCTATACTAAGAGCATATATGTCAGTCAATCTGAAGCAGTCAGTGTGCAGTGCATGCACCCACACAGACACACACGTAATGAATTCACACACAAATTCAAATTTGTGTATATGTATGCAAGCTCGACTGACCTGCACAGACGCGAACTTCCTTGACGGAGGGGCAGTTCTTTCTTGTTCTCCGCTGNGCAAGCTCGACTGACCTGCACAGACGCGAACTTCCTTGACGGAGGGGCAGTTCTTTCTTGTTCTCCGCTGCGTGGTTCCTGTGCATGGAGACCAGTCGGACCATTCACCGCAGTTTTCTTCGATTGTGCAGACTCTGGATTCAACGATATCATCTCTGCCAACGCACAAGCGGTGCTGCATTCCGATTCCATGCTCTCCCTTCTTGCATGCAGTCCATGGGCCGAACTCTGTGCAGTGGCCGGTGGTGACTTCGCCTTCTTCTGCTCCTGCTCCTGGTGTTTCTTCACCACCCTCAACACCACCTTCTTCACCTCCTGTCCCTGGCTCTGTTGGCTCTGTTGGCTCTGTTGGCTCTGTTGGCTCTGTTGGCTCTGTTGGCATCGTGCACCGCTCAAACTCAACCTGCTCGGGGCAGTTTGCACGTGTGCGGGTGCGAAGACCAGTCGATGGATCGCCACAGGCTGTCCACTCTCCCCATTCACCGCACTTCTCCTCAACCTCTGAAACACAAAAAAAAGAAACAAAATAAATACACACACCAAATTAACAAAAACATATATATATATATATATATATATATATATATATGAGATGCAAGATGATGAAGAGGAGGGAAAGGGAATATGAGTCAGGGGCTCACCATCATTGGGGCATTCGCGGACTTCTTCTGCATTCTCGCATCCTGGTTCTCCGAATCTTTCTGCACGTCTGTGAGACAGGTTGTTGTCTACGCCAGGGCATGCAGTCCAGTCGCTGAATTCCCCGCATTCAGGGAGTTCAACTTCAGGGCAGAGTCGGGTTTCTTGTTTCAAGGGGAGAGCAATGCAGCTACGTGTGCTGTGGGTTGCACCGTCCTTGCACTCGGTCCATGCGCTCCATGCCTCACAGTGAATCTGACCGGGGAGGATCACCTTCTCCGTGCAGTGCATACCGTCGCCCTCGAAGCCACTCTTGCACTCGCATTTGAATGAGCCGGGGGTGTTCGTGCAGACTGCATGGGCGTCGCAACCTGCTGCGTTGCCAGCGCACTCATCGATATCCTCGCATGATGTGCCCAGGCCCTTGTATCCGCTGCCGCATTCGCATGTGAAGGAACCGTCAGTGTTGGTGCAGACTGCATGCGGGTCGCAGTTGTGGCTGCCGCTCTCGCATTCATTCTTGTCTACACAAACTCCCTCATGCAGCTCGTAACCCTCATGGCAAGTGCATGTGTAGCTGTCGCCAGCAGGCTCGCATGTGGCGTGGGCACCGCAAGGAGCAGAGTCGCAGGCACCAACGGTCTTCTCGCAGGTCTTGCCGTCGCCCTGGTATCCCTCTTGGCATTCGCAAGTGTAGCTGCCCTCTGTGTTGGTGCAGGTAGCGTGCTCGCTGCATGCATGCACGCTAGCATCGCACTCATCAACGTCAACACAGTCGTCGCCAGAGCGCTTGAACCCGTTCTTGCACTCGCAGTTGTAGCTGCCTTCGGTGTCCACGCAGAAGCTGCGCTCGCTGCATGTTGCAGTGCCAGCCGTGCACTCGTCGACGTCTGCACACACAAAAAAATCCAAAAAAAAAATAAAAAAAATAAATTTATGTACACAAAAGCAACCGTGCGCAATGAAGAAACAACATCTCTGCATATGGGGCAGCAAGGGTACAATAAAAGAAAAAAGAAGAATATTTATCTGCTTTGTGACATTTTACTTTTTATTAATAGCCTTACTTTCGCATGTGCTGCCGTCAGCTGCGAGGTTGAATCCGGGCTTGCAGCCGCAGGTGAAGGAGCCGTTGGTGTTGTGGCAGAGACCCTTGTGTGTATCGCATGTGTTTTTGGATGGGTCAGCGCACTCATCGATATCCTGGCATGTGTGGCCGTCTCCCTCGAATCCACTGTTGCAGCGGCACTCAAAGCTTCCCTCGGTGTTGGTGCAGGTGGCGTTGGGGTCGCATGTGTGCTGAGCTGTTGCGCACTCATCGATGTCGTGGCAAGTGTGGCCATCACCCTCGAACCCACTAGCACAAGAGCAAGTGAAGGATCCTACAGTGTTGGAGCAGATACCACCGGTAGCAGCGCAGGTNCGGCGTTGAATGAATCCAGAAGCACACTCGCAAGTGAAAGATCCGGGTGTATCGACGCAAACACCACCTTCACCGAAGTCCTTGCATGGCTCGCTGGTTTCACATTCATTGATGTTTCTGCAGCCTTCTTCACCCTCGCCGTTTCCTTCGTATCCCTCCTTGCAAGTGCAGATAGCCTCGGTTCCTGCATCGTTCTCGCGGCAAGTTGCATTGGCGTTGCATCCTTTCTCGCTGCAGTAGTCGATCTTCACACAAGCTCCATCAGCACGGCGGTAGCCAGCGACACACTCGAAGTCGTAGCTGCCGTCAGTGTTGACACAGGTGGAGTTGGGTGGCAGAACAACGGCGCCAGTCTCGCACTCGTTGATGTCGCGGCAGGAGGTTTCATCGGCGTGCTCATAGCCCTCAAGGCACTCGCAAGTGAAAGAGCCTGGGGTGTTCTTGCAAGTTGTGTGTACACCGCAGGTACCCTCGGTTGCGCATTCGTTGATATCTGCACAGCTGTGGCCGTCACCCTGGTAGCCCGACTTGCAGGAGCATACATAGCTGCCTTCGGTGTTCTGGCAGATGCCGCCGTCTGCTGCAGTGGCGCAGGTGTTCTTGGATGTGTCGCTGCACTCATCAACGTCAACACAGACCAATGCATTGGTGCCCTGTGGCTGTTCAGCTGCTAGAACGAATCCTTCTTTGCATGCACACTCGTAGCTGCCTGCGGTGTTCTTGCAGACGGTGTTCTGGCCGCAGATGCCCTCTTCCGCGCATTCGTCGATGTCCTGGCAACCTGTCTCGCCGTGGCCTTCTCCGCTGTATCCGGGAGCGCATGTACACTTGAAGGTGGTGTTGTCCTCGCTTTCTGCGCACTCTGCATGCACGTTGCAGTCGTGCTGCCCAGCGCCGCAGAAGTCGATGTCCTCGCACTTGTGGCCATCGCCCTCGAAACCTGGGTTGCACTGGCAAGTGAAGGACCCGTCGGTGTTGGTGCAGGTGGCGTGTTGAGAGCAAGTGTGAGCCCCAGTGGCGCACTCGTCGATGTCAACACAAGATTTCGCATCTGCATGCACAAAGCCGGCGACGCAGCTGCACTCGAAGCTGCCGATGGTGTTGTTGCAAAGGGTGTTGGCACCGCAGTCATCTGCTTCGGTTGAGCACTCATCGATGTCCGCGCATTCCACTCCATTGCCGCTGAAACCGCTGTTGCAGGTACAGGTGAAGCTTCCTGCGGTGTTGCTGCATGTGGCGGATGCGTGGCAGTTGTGTGTTCCCTCTGCGCATTCATCGATCTCAATGCACTTGTTGCCGTCCTTTCTGTATCCCTCAGCGCACTTGCAGTTGTAGGAACCCACGGTGTTCTCGCAGATGCCTCCCTCTTCTGCAGATGCACAGTCGTTTTCACCTGTTGCACACTCATCGATGTCATCGCAGTGGCCAGCAGCAGTTCCGTCACCGGTGTAGCCAGGCAGACATGTGCAGATAGCTGCAGTGCCTTCGGCGTTCTCCTTGCATGAGGCCAGAGCATTGCATGCACCGCGAGCGCAGAAGTCGATCTTCACGCATTCGCCGTTCACGAGCTCATAGCCGGGGTTGGCCTCAAGGTTGTAGCTGCCCTCGGTGTTGACACAGCTGCAGTTTGAGGGGATCTTGGTGCTTGCCTCCTTGCATTCATCAACATCGCTGCATGCGTTGTTATCCATGTGTCCATAGCCGGGCTTGCACTCGCACTCGTAGCTGCCGATGGTGTTCTGGCAGTGGGTGTTGGCTCCGCAGGGAGAAGGATCTGCTGCACACTCATCGACGTCGCTGCAGACTTTCCCGTCACCGATGAAACCTTCTTGGCAGTGGCATTCATAGCTTCCATCTACATTCACACACTGAGCAGAGACGTGGCAGACTGCTGCTCCCGTGGCGCACTCATCGATGTCCTTGCATGCATGGCCGTCTGTCGAAGCTGCTTCGTAGCCGGCATTGCATGTGCAGGTGTAGGAGCCCTCGGTGTTGCTGCAGGATGCATGCGGGTCGCAAGGAGAGGTTTCTGCTGAGCACTCATCGATATCTGCACACCCGGAGGGGCCGAAACCGTCGCCGCTGAAGCCAGTCTTGCATTCGCATGTGTAGGATCCGTCTGTGTTGGTGCAGACGGCGTTTCTGTTGCAGTTGTTTGTGGGTTTCTCGGCGGAGCATTCATTGATGTCTACGCATGGGCTGTCATGAGTGCCGAGGCCTTCATATCCAGCATCGCAGACGCACTTGAATGTCGTCAGGGTGTTCAAACAGCTGGCGTGGGCACCGCAGTTGTTGAGTGAGGGATCCGCGCAGAAATCTATCTTTGAGCATGGAGAGTCATGAGTACCCTGGCCGTTGTATCCCTCTGGGCAGCTGCAAGTGAAGGATCCGTCGGTGTCTGTACAGATTGCGTTTGCTGAGCAAGCATTTGGGTTTGCGCATTCATCGATGTTCATGCATGGGCTGTCTGCTGTTGCGTTTCCACTGTATCCAGCATTGCAGCGGCACTCGAAGCTTCCAGCAGTGTTGACGCAAGTTGAATGAGCGGGGCAGTTGTGTTCGTCGCTGGCGCACTCATCGATGTCGTGACACTGGCCGTCTTCGCCTTTGCGGTATCCTGGCAGGCAGTTGCATTCATAGGATCCCTGGGTGTTGACACAGTTGGAGTGAGCTGGGCATTGGTGGGTGTTGTTTGCGCATTCATCGACCTCAACACAAGGGCTGCTGCTGCTTCCTGCTGCTGGATCAGCTCCCCATCCTGCTTTGCACTGACACTTGGCTTCGTTTCCATCGGGTGTACATATAGCATTGCTGTCACAGGGTGATGGGCTCTCCTCGCAGGGGTTGAATGCCTCGCAGTTTTCTCCATCACCTCTGAACCCAGGCTTGCAGTGGCATTCTGCAGCCATTGGATCGCAGGTGGCGTTCACTGAGCAGCTGCTGCAGTCGAAGGTGCCGCACACCCGCACCTCTTTGCGGTGGGGGCAGTTCGCGCGGTGACGGGTGTGTGTAGATCCAAGCTCACAGTCACCAGAGAGAGGGGGGTCCCACTCGCCGAAATCACCGCCTGCATGCATCATACGCAATCAAATAAAAATCTAATTATATATGTGGTATGTATATAATATGTATATGTATTATATATATTTGTGTGTGTGTGTGTATGTAGTCCATATGTTTCTGCTTATGGGTATCTGTGTGAGAATCCTAATTTAAAATATTTATAAAGAAAGAGATAATATATTTCTTACATTTTTCGATTTCTGCATTTGTCATGTTGCATTCTCGTACTTCTACAGGTCCACACTTGGAGTTGTATCTTTCTTGTAGGTTATTTGTATCACACATTGTCCATGGGGTCCACTGTTCATTGCATTCAACTCTTGCAGGTTTACAGGCTCTCACCTCCTCCACCTCAGGACATCCTTCTCTGCTGCGTGTTTGAAACTGACCCTCCACGCATGACACCTCGCCAGGCGTCCATGCAGAGAAATCACCGCCTATAAATAAATAAATAAATAAATATATATATATATATATATATATATATATATATATATATATATATATATGTATGTATATATATATGTATGCACTGATGTATATAATTACTGTATCATATGTACGATATATAATAATTCAAACACACATCGTTGTTTCTATCGTGGCTTAATGAGAAGACAAATCGGCGAGGGTTGTAGTGAGCAGATTCATGCAAATATACTGCTGTATGCTGGGATACTGCAAAGGGTGTATTTGTGTATTTACAAATATTCAACTGTATGCCGAGACACTCCAAAGGGTTAATTTATTTATATATAAGGGTTTATCACGGCGAGGGGGATTGATTGCGATAGCTTACATCCTGTTAGTTTCTTGCATTCCCTGACCTCCACCCATGTCTCGCACTTGGAGTTGTGTCTCTCTTGTAGACCTGTTGTGCTGTTACAGGTCGTCCACGGGGTCCAGCTGTTTTCACACTCGGAGAAATCATTCTTAACCTCGGCGCCTGCAAAGACAGAGAACAGTACAAAACAACAAGACCACATGTTGAGTGAATTTCCACTGTTTTCCTCGCATCTTGTCTTCAAACAATAAAATAAAGAAAATTATTACTACTATTCTGTAGCATGTGTCCTGTATTAACTCTATATGCCACTCTAGCTGCACCTCGATGATCGCTAGGCACATGGATGCACCCTCGCGGCGCGCAGCTGCAGCTAAGCTCAAGCCGCTGAATGCCAGAAGTGCGTGAAAAATGCATTAAAAGCAAATATAAAACTCGTGTTGCACCGATGTAAGCATGCAATACACCTGCACTGCCGGCGGCACTCGGAGGCGTTCCCTAGGCGGATCGAACGCCGAGCCATCACTGTGGAACGCCGCTTTGGAGCATGAACCACCTCTAAAGTGTTTAAAGAAGTTAAAAAAAAACTTTTTGAATGCTTTGGACTTACTGGCGATCCCCGTTCCGCCGTAAAGTGCAGCGAGGGCTGCACAAAGCGCCCACCGCGGGTTGCGATGCAGCATATTGTCGCCGCTGAAACGGCTGCGTTTAAAATTGAGTTCGAGCTACGCCGTAGCAGCTCTTCTCATGAACAAACTGAAGAAAAATGAGCATGTGGCTCATGAGCCAGATTGGGGAACGACGCTGTGAAAGGCAGTAGTGAGCTGGCTGCGCCCGGCACCAGCGGAAAGCTGCAAGCGCAAAGATACGAGCAGCAGGAGCTCGTAGAAGAAAAAGGAGGAAGAAATATTGAGATAACTCAAAAGGAGGAAAGTCCCACTTTAGGGATGCAGAAGTTGTGAGGATGTCAGCGGATTCAGGTTGATATCGCCCAAGCTAGCTACGCCGTACCTCGTGTGTGCGGCCAGCCGCGCGGCGAGCACCGTCTGCCTCCCGGCCTCTCTGGCTCCTTATTTCCGCACCTTCGTGGACATCTTCTCCTTAAAACAGAAATATAGGTAATTAATTTTTATATATACTGCAAAAAACAAATTTCTTTTTCACTCCTCCAAAGCCGAGCCCTGCGGCGATGGTCCATTGACGAGCGCTGGCACCAGCCGCTCACAGCTTGCCCCGCTGTAATGTCCGTTTCTTCATTTTCTTCTTAAAAAAAGTAAAGATTCTGTAAATATACTATTCAAATTATACTTGAAAATGTTCAATATCTGAGCCGCTCGATTTCAGCGCACACTGCGTGTGCCCATGACTCGGGGTCGCGGCTCCGATCCGACAACGACACGTTGTAAAAGACTGCTTTGCCTGCTATTAATTAGAAGAAAAAAGGGAATAATTCGCATATTAAAGCAAATACATGTTTTGTGAGGCTATAAATAGTTGAAGGTTCTAGCGCTTTCCGCCCCGTCTTGTACCCCCCCTCGTGGTCCGGCGTCGCCCAGTATGGCTTTGTATGGGGTGCTTTGGTCGCTTTCAGCCCGAATTCGGCAAAAAACTTATTTCTCTATATTTCCTATCAATCCTAAACGGAGAATACACTACATTTCAGTGAAGAGGATACATAACTGGCAATCGCTGACGGGTGGGGCTTGTGTTCTACCAAACAGCGATATCCCCTACTGGCATGCACACTGGCTACCGAAGTTCAGCGCAGTGTTTAGCAATGGCCTGCGCCTTTTGTGCATGCGCCGAAACAGGGTTTGAGTAAGCTTCCTTTTAGGGGCATCTTGCACCAGAAGTTGCAGCAAGGTGAGTTGCAGCGCATGCAAGGCTGGCTCCCTTCCCAGCCAGCCCCAGGCCTGTGTTCAGCTGCATCCAGGCCGCCTCGAGACGAGAGGGTAGGCGAGCTAATTTGAAGCATTCTGGAGCATGCCACCAAGTGCAATGTGCACCGTCGATCCTTGTACTTGACATTCTGACTCTGTTGCGGCTGATGACGGTCCTCTGGTATCTACGGACCCCATTCGCCACAGCAGGGAGACCAGGCATACAAAACAGATCCGTCATGAGGACAGTTTGCTCGGGGAAAAGAAAAGTGTTAGATGTTCTGTGTAGAATATCCTCTACAAAGTTAGCCTTTTCTCCTCGGTGAATGGAGGAGACGTCGGGTAGTTACTTATTATAGAGACAACTTCGTTTTAGAGGATTCGTACACTCATCAGAGCTAGCACCGGGGCAAGAAGCAAAAACGTTTTGCCATGCTTTGGATAGGGTACTTTGTTGTTGTTTGGCGACAACAGTAGCGAATGCATTAAACCAAGTACGAACATCAGGGTGCGCACACATGGTGGAGGCATCACCATACCATGTGTGCCCACTTTTAAAAGCAGCTACCGAATCTACAAAAATTTACTCGAATATGCCCCACAATGGCAGCAAAGTCGCTCGGCAGAGCAGCAACTAGTGGAAACTGAGATCCTGAATACACGTGTACCGGTTCGTAGATGCCACAGAAAACGAGAATATTATTTTGAGGGGAATGGAGGTAGGCAAAGAGACTGGGCTTCTGGGGACCGTTTGCGCGAAGCGGTCATCAGCTCATCTACGCCTGAGCCAAGGGAGTCTTTAACAAGTGTTAGTATGCACACTACAACGTAAAGGTGAGCTATGCATAACATTTTGCGGGCAACTGTTGTCACGTGAGGAGAGGGCCTCATATATGGGCTGTGACACATCCGAGCTGCCGCATCGCTGTGCGATCAAATGCTGAATCAGCAATATAAACAACAACGGCAGAAGCAGAAGCAACTGCGGCTTCAGCTGCAGCAGTAGATCTAATAGCTGCAGTTGCAACTGAACATGGGGGCCCCCCCCCCAGACTCGCACTTATTATCAGTTGCTACTCAAGCAAAAATGCTGGGGTGGAAGCTGTCTTGACACCCGACAGGCGAACAGAGATCAGGTGGTCCTCTATTATCTTCTCGGTGCGAAGCAACAAAAGCGGGAACTATTGCTGAAGGCAACCTAAACAACGAACCATAATTACTTCTTGCTTTGCACCGTCCAGTTTGCTTATTCTCTTTCCCCTCTCTGTCCTCTCTGTCCCGTGGGTGGAATGACTAGCCGCTCCCGCCGCATCTCCCCCAACGTTCAGACCCACTTCACGGCGTTGGTTTACCTCCTGGGTCAAATAGGGTGCACCAACTCAGTTACTGCACGCAGGCATATCGAGAAAGAATATACAGCTCTCATTTGCTTCTGCCGTCTGTGGCAATACAGCATACGACTCATTTGCAACGCTGTCTCCAACCAAGAAAACTATTTCTGTAACGCGACACTGGCCGTAGCCTGGGGCTGCCGTGAGCGGCAGCAGCCCAAAACAGCTGAACCGCCGGCAGCAGTGTGAATACGTCGGGCGAAATACTCTAAAAGTATCAGATACTCCTCCCTCTTTCCAACGCAAAGATGGGTGCCTACACCCCTCCCTCGGCGTTCACTAGCAATCGCTGCAGTCAATAAACGCTGCGCCTGCTTCTAGGTGTACATACACCTGGGGCGTATGTAGTTGGGGCACACCCTGGAGCTGCTCTGAGAAAACACAGAGCCGGACCACTGGCTCGAGTATTAAAAAGCAATCACAGCTCAACTGCACAGACAGCCCGCAACTCTCCTTGCCTGTGCCTGTTCGGCACCCCCGTGCTTCAGTTGAAGTGCATGCGTCGCGGCCACCCCTTGAGCCGGCGAAGAAGCAGAAGGGGTAGAGAGGCAGCTAGCAGAGAAGGGGAGACACCGCAGTGAGAGGGGGAGGCCCGCTCCCTCGCATCGCTCAAGGGCTACCTACGTACTGCATAATATTTTTCTGCTGTTAGGTGCTAGGGGGCGCAGCGGGAGCAGAGGGTAACCTAAGCTGTTAATATGAAGTCTAATAGACTCATATATATCTACAAAAGAAGTGTTGTGGAGGCTGCGGTGTACTGACAGCTGCAGTTGCGCACGAGACGGGGAACCCATCCCTCTGTCTCTCCGTCGTTGGCTGTTGGCTGCAGGCGATGTCAGATGTTAGTGTGATAAGTATATGAGCTGAAATACAAAAAGTAAATGATATAAATAGCTGCATAGAAACACGAAAATTCGGCTAAGACAAATGATACGCTTTGATGCACGTTCAACAAAGACTGCTGCTGCTGCTGCTGCTGCTGCTGCTGCTGC